CCTGGCCAGCACAGAAGGCTCCAGGCCGGGACTGGAAAGCAGACTGCAGACAGCACCAGGGAGGGACGCGTCCGGCCCCTGCCCCCCGACACACTGGGCAGCCACAGGGGCCCTGGAGAACGGCTTTCCCGCAGAGCTCAGGCCTGCCTTCTTCCGGGGGGTGGAGGAGCAGCCATCTGGGCTTGCCCCTGGGGCTGAGTAAGCCACCTGGGGTGCTTAGGCTCACCTGGGAACCCCTTCTTCTGCATGAGCACACTCCTCCCCACAGGTCTACGGAGTGCTCCTCAGCGTGGTGGGTTTTAGTGGATGGCACAGATTTCCTCCACCCTGACGCGCGTGCCCTGTGACACGTGACTTCCTTCCTCGTCTCATCAAGAAATGGCACCTAACTTACCCTCACCCTGACGCTGGGCAAGTTTGTGGCGTGCTTTTGCCATAGGATCCACGGGGAGAGACGTCGTGACTTCTGGGAGCAGGTCTCATGGGCCTTGCAGCTTTGTTTTTGTCCTGTTGGAAAGCTGCCCTGGGACGGCCACACGAGCGCCTGGCCTAGCCTGGCGGAGGTGAGAGGGCGTGTGGAGAGCTGAGGCTTCCTGGCCACCAGCCAACTCCTAGCCACCGGAGTGGGGCCAGATCGGACCTTCCGGGCCAGACCGGAAGCAGCACAAGAGTAAGTCTGGGTGAGACCAGCAGAGAAGCGCCCAGGCAACCGTAGGGTTGTGAGAAACAGCACGTTGTTGTTATTTTTAAGTTTCTAAGTTTTGGGTGATTTGTTACACAGCACAGGCTAAAACCCTCAGTATTGGTAACCTTTCCAAAGATAAGAAAATAGACTTCCTGGGAATTTCAAGATGGAGGCGCAGAGTTTAAACCACTTTGAATATGGTTAGTGCCCTAGGTTGGTATTCTGGCTATGCATCAGTACATAGCAAGTCATCCAGAATTCAGTGGTGTGACATAACAACCAGAGTTTGTGACTCAGGAATTTGGATAAGGCACAGTGGAGATGGTTTGTCCCCATTCCACAACGTCAGGGGCCTCAGCTAGAATTCGAATCTGGCCTTCCCAGATTTGAGTAACTGGAAGTGACTTGAACAACTGAGTGTTGAAAGTGTATGAAGAATCTCTTACTCACGTGGCTGAGGCTGGACTTGGCTGAGAATGTTGGCTGGAGTACTTAGCACCTGCGGCCTTTCCATGTAGCTCAGGCTTCCTCACAGCATGGCAGCCGTGGGGGCAACTGGACTTCGCACATGGCCGCTTTCAGGCCCCAGCCCTGGAAGTGATATGGCTTCCACCATATACTATTGGTCAAAGCGATCACAGCCCTCATACATTCAAGGGGGAGGGGCACAGACTTCACCTCTCTGTGGGAGAAGAAATAAAAGAATTTGCGATTACATATTAAAATTGCCACTGCTGATGGTGGAGAACATGGCTGCTGCATACAGTTGGTCAAAGATCATCTCGTATTCTAGGTGCCACCTCTAAACCTGACCCATCCAAACCAATCAGACTCTTTACTCAGCAAACACACATGGCCTGTTCTCTTCTGTTCTGGAACCCAAGAAGACAGGAGGCGGCTGGAGCCCTGCAGTATTCAGTGAGAGTCACCTCCTTTCTGTGCACCCAGGACTGTCAATTCTCTGCCCGCACATGAAAGTTTTCTCTTTCTGAAAAACAGTAAGACATCTTACAGGGATCATGCTGCTTGGTTTGATTCAGAGCCAGTGTATCCTAAGGGAAACCTGGGTTTGTGGCTCCACATTTGATGCAGGGAGAAAGCCTCGTCTCTTGGACTGAAGGTTGGACTGAGCCGCTGGACTATGGTCCTCATCCCTAGTCTGACGCGTGGTGGAAGCTGGGGTGAGACCCCTGCCCCCACCCCCAGCTGACCTTTTTCTCTTTGACAGATAGCATCTCTGCCCAGGGGCCTCTGAGCAGGAGGAGAGGGCGGGGCTGACCGCAGAGCCTGCCTAACAAAGGTATTTCCATTGTCACCTGCTCTCTATGTCCCTGACTGGGCCTGGTAGGTCTCTGCCATTCTCCTGGAAGCCTGGATAGAAAGCAGGTCTGAGAAGGCAGAGGCGCAGGAAGGTGTCCCCCTGGGGCACGTCCTTAGGTAGCCCCATCCTGGCCCAGAAAATGCCTGGGGGATAAGAGTTTTTATGTTGGGGTGGATTTAGCATCTGAGTTCCAGTTGATTTCCAGGGGGAAGTGGGGATGGATTTATAGCTCCTGGAGCAGGTTTCCAGCCTGCCTCGGATCTGCATGAGGAGGTAGTGGGCAGGAAGTTATTGATGTGACCTCCCACCCGGGGGAGGGAATGGTAATGAGTTTATGATAAACCCATCTTCACAGGGTTTATGGCTGGGCCCTCAGAGATGTGATTTGATGCAGACAGGCAGCTCTCCAAGTGCCACAGGGAAGAGGAACATGAGCCATAAACTCCAGGAAATGAGCTTCCCCAACAGCCGCCCCTCCCGGGCTCTCAGAAGCCTGGCTCTGCCCTAAGCCCTCCGGATTTGCAGAAGATTTGCAAAGTTCCTGGCAACTGCAGAACTTGGGAGATCTCTAGAGACCTGGGGGCTGGGTGCCCAGCCTGCCCTCCCTGCAAGCCCCAGCTGGTCCCCCTGTCGCTGCGGTGCCCTCCTCACAGTGGGCCCATTGGTCCCCTGCAGGCTCTGAGACCAAGGAAGGGAGAGGGAACCACCTTCACTGTGGGCTTGGCATCAGATGGCCCTGGGTTTGAATTCTGTGGGATTCTGCCACTTGCTGGCTGTGGGACTATGGGCCTCAGTTTCCCCACCTGTGAAATGGGAGGGGAGGAGATTTCCCGCCAAGGCCTGCTGTGGGATTAAGTGGGACAGGCGTGTGGAGGGAGCGCACAGCACTTGGCGAGTAGCGGGCGGGGCGTGGGCAGGACACAGACGGGTGTGAGTGAGAGAGTGGACATGAACAGCCGTCACCTGTGTGGTCCTGGACACGAGTCTCAGCTCCTCGGCCTCAGTCTGCGCCCCTGGGAGGTGGGAGTGAAGCTGTTGTCATGATTAAAGGGGACAAGGAAGGTCTATCGCTTAGCACCTTGCTGGGCACGTGGTCAGTCCTCGCTGGACGCTTTTGCCAACCCCTTCTCCCAGGTGGCCGGTGCTGCCGGGGCAGGTCAGTGGGCCTGGCCCTGGGCCAGCGTGGACAAGGGTGGGGACTCCAGATTCCTGTCCACATCCTGCGACAGGGCTGGGGGGATAAGGCCGCTCCTGGGACTGGCGCTGTGTGGAGCTGAGTCCCGTTCCAGCAACGTCACCAGCTTCAAGGTCTCAAGGACGTCACTTGCTCCTACCCCCGCCTGAGCCTTAGTTTCATCATCTGTAAAATGGGGAGGATGGTGAAGATGTCAGGCATGACTGAGGGATTCTGACCTGCCAGGCACGGTGTTGCCTGCTTTCCCTGCATAACCCGCTACAGCCCACAGGGCAGGAATCTCGGTTAGTCCTGCTTCCCAGGTGGGAAAACAAAGCTTCAACAGGGAATTCCTTGCTCACGATCAACTAGGAAGTGGGGGAGACAGGACTTGAACCCAGGGATTCTGGCCCCAGAGGGCACCTCTGGCCTCCTGGGGTTGCTCTGGCGATGCCCAAGGTGAAGGGTGTGAACGGCTGTGCGAACTGCGCCGCGCTGCACACATGCCAGACGTGGTCCCCTTCCACGGGAGACGGAATCTGAGCCTCCCAGGAGTGGCTGGGCTCTCAGACTGTGAAGTGTGGTGACAACTGTGACCCACGTATCCCCAGCACCACCTAAACGCCAGGCGCTGTGGTGGGAATCGTGACTCCATCTCACAGAGGAGGAGACTGAGGCTCAGATGGTGACGCCGCCTGGACAGGCCATGCAACAAACTGGAACGTGGACACAGGTCTCCCTGACTCCAGGGTCCAAGTTCTTACCTGCGAGACCGTGCCCCTGCCTGTGTCATTACTGAATGTTAGCACCTGGCTCAGGTGTTCTGTGACCACCTGCTGCTCAGGGGGAAGATGGGCTGAGGTCGGAGTCAGGTGACTGCAGGGCCCAGAGTAAATCAGGGCAGACTTCTTGGAGGGGGTGGACCACGCATGGAGGGTGGAGCGGTGGGCAGGACTCACCAGCCTCTGGGCCAGAGGTGTCAGGAGAGCGAGCTCTGAGTGTGTGAGCACTTGAGGACACAGCATAGGATCCACGGGGAGAGACGTCGTGACTTCTGGGAGCAGGTCTCATGGGCCTTGCAGCTTTGTTTTTGTCCTGTTGGAAAGCTGCCCTGGGACGGCCACACGAGCGCCTGGCCTAGCCTGGCGGAGGTGAGAGGGCGTGTGGAGAGCTGAGGCTTCCTGGCCACCAGCCAACTCCTAGCCACCGGAGTGGGGCCAGATCGGACCTTCCGGGCCAGACCGGAAGCAGCACAAGAGCAAGTCTGGGTGAGACCAGCAGAGAAGCGCCCAGGCAACCGTAGGGTTGTGAGAAACAGCACGTTGTTGTTATTTTTAAGTTTCTAAGTTTTGGGTGATTTGTTACACAGCACAGGCTAAAACCCTCAGTATTGGTAACCTTTCCAAAGATAAGAAAATAGACTTCCTGGGAATTTCAAGATGGAGGCGCAGAGTTTAAACCACTTTGAATATGGTTAGTGCCCTAGGTTGGTATTCTGGCTATGCATCAGTACATAGCAAGTCATCCAGAATTCAGTGGTGTGACATAACAACCAGAGTTTGTGACTCAGGAATTTGGATAAGGCACAGTGGAGATGGTTTGTCCCCATTCCACAACGTCGGGGGCCTCAGCTAGAATTCGAATCTGGCCTTCCCAGATTTGAGTAACTGGAAGTGACTTGAACAACTGAGTGTTGAAAGTGTATGAAGAATCTCTTACTCACGTGGCTGAGGCTGGACTCGGCTGAGAATGTTGGCTGGAGTACTTAGCACCTGCGGCCTTTCCATGTAGCTCGGGCTTCCTCGTGGGGGCAACTGGACTTCGCACATGGCCGCTTTCAGGCCCCAGCCCTGGAAGTGATATGGCTTCCACCATATACTATTGGTCAAAGCGATCACAGCCCTCATACATTCAAGGGGGAGGGGCACAGACTTCACCTCTCTGTGGGAGAAGAAATAAAAGAATTTGCGATTACATATTAAAATTGCCACTGCTGATGGTGGAGAACATGGCTGCTGCATACAGTTGGTCAAAGATCATCTCGTATTCTAGGTGCCACCTCTAAACCTGACCCATCCAAACCAATCAGACTCTTTACTCAGCAAACACACATGGCCTGTTCTCTTCTGTTCTGGAACCCAAGAAGACAGGAGGCGGCTGGAGCCCTGCAGTATTCAGTGAGAGTCACCTCCTTTCTGTGCACCCAGGACTGTCAATTCTCTGCCCGCACATGAAAGTTTTCTCTTTCTGAAAAACAGTAAGACATCTTACAGGGATCATGCTGCTTGGTTTGATTCAGAGCCAGTGTATCCTAAGGGAAACCTGGGTTTGTGGCTCCACATTTGATGCAGGGAGAAAGCCTCGTCTCTTGGACTGAAGGTTGGACTGAGCCGCTGGACTATGGTCCTCATCCCTAGTCTGACGCGTGGTGGAAGCTGGGGTGAGACCCCTGCCCCCACCCCCAGCTGACCTTTTTCTCTTTGACAGATAGCATCTCTGCCCAGGGGCCTCTGAGCAGGAGGAGAGGGCGGGGCTGACCGCAGAGCCTGCCTAACAAAGGTATTTCCATTGTCACCTGCTCTCTATGTCCCTGACTGGGCCTGGTAGGTCTCTGCTGTTCTCCCTGAAGCCTGGATAGAAAGTAGGTCTGAGAAGGCAGAGACGCAGGAAGGTGTCCCCCTGGGGCACGTCCTTAGGTAGCCCCATCCTGGCCCAGAAAATGCCTGGGGGATAAGAGTTTTTATGTTGGGGTGGATTTAGCATCTGAGTTCCAGTTGATTTCCAGGGGGAAGTGGGGATGGATTTATAGCTCCTGGAGCAGGTTTCCAGCCTGCCTCGGATCTGCATGAGGAGGTAGTGGGCAGGAAGTTATTGATGTGACCTCCCACCCGGGGGAGGGAATGGTAATGAGTTTATGATAAACCCATCTTCACAGGGTTTATGGCTGGGCCCTCAGAGATGTGATTTGATGCAGACAGGCAGCTCTCCAAGTGCCACAGGGAAGAGGAACATGAGCCATAAACTCCAGGAAATGAGCTTCCCCAACAGCCGCCCCTCCCGGGCTCTCAGAAGCCTGGCTCTGCCCTAAGCCCTCCGGATTTGCAGAAGATTTGCAAAGTTCCTGGCAACTGCAGAACTTGGGAGATCTCTAGAGACCTGGGGGCTGGGTGCCCAGCCTGCCCTCCCTGCAAGCCCCAGCTGGTCCCCCTGTCGCTGCGGTGCCCTCCTCACAGTGGGCCCATTGGTCCCCTGCAGGCTCTGAGACCAAGGAAGGGAGAGGGAACCACCTTCACTGTGGGCTTGGCATCAGATGGCCCTGGGTTTGAATTCTGTGGGATTCTGCCACTTGCTGGCTGTGGGACTATGGGCCTCAGTTTCCCCACCTGTGAAATGGGAGGGGAGGAGATTTCCCGCCAAGGCCTGCTGTGGGATTAAGTGGGACAGGCGTGTGGAGGGAGCGCACAGCACTTGGCGAGTAGCGGGCGGGGCGTGGGCAGGACACAGACGGGTGTGAGTGAGAGAGTGGACATGAACAGCCGTCACCTGTGTGGTCCTGGACACGAGTCTCAGCTCCTCGGCCTCAGTCTGCGCCCCTGGGAGGTGGGAGTGAAGCTGTTGTCATGATTAAAGGGGACAAGGAAGGTCTATCGCTTAGCACCTTGCTGGGCACGTGGTCAGTCCTCGCTGGACGCTTTTGCCAACCCCTTCTCCCAGGTGGCCGGTGCTGCCGGGGCAGGTCAGTGGGCCTGGCCCTGGGCCAGCGTGGACAAGGGTGGGGACTCCAGATTCCTGTCCACATCCTGCGACAGGGCTGGGGGGATAAGGCCGCTCCTGGGACTGGCGCTGTGTGGAGCTGAGTCCCGTTCCAGCAACGTCACCAGCTTCAAGGTCTCAAGGACGTCACTTGCTCCTACCCCCGCCTGAGCCTTAGTTTCATCATCTGTAAAATGGGGAGGATGGTGAAGATGTCAGGCATGACTGAGGGATTCTGACCTGCCAGGCACGGTGCTGCCTGCTTTCCCTGCATAACCCGCTACAGCCCACAGGGCAGGAATCTCGGTTAGTCCTGCTTCCCAGGTGGGAAAACAAAGCTTCAACAGGGAATTCCTTGCTCACGATCAACTAGGAAGTGGGGGAGACAGGACTTGAACCCAGGGATTCTGGCCCCAGAGGGCACCTCTGGCCTCCTGGGGTTGCTCTGGCGATGCCCAAGGTGAAGGGTGTGAACGGCTGTGCGAACTGCGCCGCGCTGCACACATGCCAGACGTGGTCCCCTTCCATGGGAGACGGAATCTGAGCCTCCCAGGAGTGGCTGGGCTCTCAGACTGTGAAGTGTGGTGACAACTGTGACCCACGTATCCCCAGCACCACCTAAACGCCAGGCGCTGTGGTGGGAATCGTGACTCCATCTCACAGAGGAGGAGACTGAGGCTCAGATGGTGACGCCGCCTGGACAGGCCATGCAACAAACTGGAACGTGGACACAGGTCTCCCTGACTCCAGGGTCCAAGTTCTTACCTGCGAGACCGTGCCCCTGCCTGTGTCATTACTGAATGTTAGCACCTGGCTCAGGTGTTCTGTGACCACCTGCTGCTCAGGGGGAAGATGGGCTGAGGTCGGAGTCAGGTGACTGCAGGGCCCAGAGTAAATCAGGGCAGACTTCTTGGAGGGGGTGGACCACGCATGGAGGGTGGAGCGGTGGGCAGGACTCACCAGCCTCTGGGCCAGAGGTGTCAGGAGAGCGAGCTCTGAGTGTGTGAGCACTTGAGGACACAGGTGAGGCGCTCCTGAGTCACTCATGTGGCTAGAGAACGCCCAGGCCAGGCCGCAGGCTCTGACGTCCCCAGTATCGTTCCTTGTCACGTTAGCTGGTTCCGTCTCTGTTGTTAAGAGGTTGCACCTTTTCTCATGTCTCAACGTCATGCTTTTGCCAGTTCGGTGTCTCAGACCCTGTAATCAGGGGTGAGTTGTGGCTTTCTCCTCTGCCACTCACTCAGCGCTGCCGACTCGTCCGCAGCAAGTCGTTCTCTCCATGAGCTTCCATGGATTTCCAGACTGAATATTTCTTGATTTGCTTTTTGATGGCAATCCTAGAAACCAGCCTTTCACTTTGGGCCTGTTGCATTGTAAAAACAGCATCAGCTGCTCCCTGGGGACAGCTGTGCACCCTCCTCCTGGGGACCCCTGTGCACCCTCCTCCTGGGGACAGCTGTGCACCCTCCTCCTGGGGACAGCTGTGCACCCTCCTCCTGGGGACCCCTGTGCACCCTCCTCCTGGGGATCCCTGTGCACCCTCCTCCTGAGTCATCATCGAGGACATGGCTGACGTGTGAGGAGCCCGAGCCCAGCCCAGGCAGGTGGCAGCTGCTCCATGAACACCAGTTCCTCCCTGTCCTAGAGTGGACACCGCCTCGCTGGCCACTAGTGCACGTGGACCACCCAGGCCAGTCAGTATTACCCCAAACAGTCTCTCTGCTACCCTCATGTGATGTCACTGTCAGCCTTCATTGAGCACCAACTGCAAGCCAGGCCCTGTGCTAAGCCCTGGGCTCAGGGATGTTCTGATTGTGAATTGTCACATTCCTTCCCTTCTGATCCTTCAACGGCTCTTCCTTGACTCCAGGATCAAGAGCAGATTCCTTCCTGCTGCCACCAGGACTGTGAGGTCCAGTCCTTGCCCACCCCTCCCGATTGCTCTCCCCCTCCCCTGCTCTCTGCTTTCTCTCCTTTGAGCACCCTAAGCCCTTTCCTGTCACAGGCCCTTTGCACATGCATTTCCCTCCACCTGGCATGCCTTGTCCTGTCCTTTCTTCACTTGGCCTGTCCCTCTCATATTTGGTTTCCTCACCCCAACCTCATGTTGTTCCTCTGGTCCTCTCAGCACCTTCCAGAACTGTTTTCTTGGGGCGCTTATTGGTATTGGCTGTTGCCCACACTAGTCTTGAGCTCCAGGAGGGCAGGGGGCCCGTGGGTCCTGTTCCCAGCGCATTCCCGGGCCAGCACTCGCCTGGCACAGACTCGGTGTCCGGTAGGTTCTTTCTTGAGCGGATGAGTAAACCCGAGGACTAAAGAGCCCAGCGGCTCTCTGGGGTGATCTGCACATTGGTACGGAACGTGCCCGTGTGGCCCCAGGTCTGGGTAAGTCAGAGCCCAGGGAGTGGGGGCAGGGAACTGGCCCGAGACGCTGGCAGGACCATCACAGACCTGTGACGGGTGGCACTGAGTGACCTGTCCCCCAGGGACAGGCATCCGTGGAGATCTGGGGGCCAGCCTCCCTTGCCCCTCCCTCCTCACAGGCGTGCTCACCTTCTCAGGTGACCGGGTGCCATGCGGGGGCATCGGTCAGGAGGGCCTGGGCAGCGCTGCTGTGACGAACGGCCCTGCACCTCAGCACACGCACCGGCCCGGCCCTGCCTACATGCTCAGGGCAGGTCTCGGGGCTCCGCACCCCGCAGTGGCTCACCTCGACCCGGCTCCCCGGACCACACAGCAGAGGGAAGAAAACGCAGCTCCTGCGCAGGCGTGTCCAGCTCCCTTCCGGAAGTGACGCACGCAGACTCCTCTCACAGCCCATTGGACAGAGCAAGTCACGTGACCCGCCTGCCTTTAGAGGGGGCTGGAAGGGACGCCCTGCTGCGCGTCAGGAACTAGGGCGAGGGCGCTGGCGATGCAAGGGTGGTGCAGAGCTGCGACTGCCTCAGTTGACCCCTGCTGGGCTGAGAGCCACTGCGGGCAGTGCCCTCCGTCTCCGCAGCCCCCGCGTGCCTGCCCGGGACAGGGCGCCGAGCAGGCGGAAGCAAATGCCCTGTTCTGTCCAGCCGGACAACGCTGTGCCCCCCCGCCCTGTGCCAGCTGCGGGTCCAGAGCTGACAGTGACACAGGCCCTGCTGGGCGAGTCAGGCGTGCAGTGTGCTGTGGGCAAACCTTTGCCCCGTGCTCCTGCCCAGGGCAGTGAGCGTGGGAGAGTCCACACGCCCCGACGGCGGGGTCGGGGCCTGCAGGCTCGGCTCCCTCCTCAGCCTCGTCTCTCGGCCTCAGCGGCCCACACTGCCACTCTGAGCAAGGCTGAGCTGTGTCCACCTTCCTGTGTCCTCCCTGCCTCACCCTTGCCTCTGAGCTTTGCAACTGCTGTTCCTTCTGCCTGTACACAGCAGGGACCACGCCCTCTTGGTCTGAAACCTGGCCTTGCCAGCTACCAGAGGATGAGCAGGTCCTTTCTGTGCCTCAGTTTCCTCATCTATGAAATGGGGATAGTGGTCGTATCTGCCTCACACAGGGGAGTTCCTGTGAGGATGTAATGAGTTACAAGTAAAACGCTTAGAACAGGGCCCAGCATGTGGTTAGGGCACAAGAACGAGCAGTTATGATTGGCCCACGCCCACCCTCCGAGTCTAGCATCCTACCCCCTGCACGTCTCAGCACAGATGCCCCCTCCCCAGAAGGCATCTGGCATCTCTATTTCCTCAGTTCTGGGCACAGGGCCTGGCACACAGAGGCTCCAGCTGCCCCCAACCCCCTGAGCTGACGCCTCCCCTTCCAGGGACATTTGCCTCCAGGTCAGCTTTATGGGGACCAAATGCCTGGGGTTAAAAGGGGCCCAGCCTTTTCCCCTTTGGGAGCCTTTGGGGGGTGGCTGGAGAAGGCCGAGAGTCTCCTGCACTTGGAGGGGCTCCTCCCGTGCTCGTGGGGGCTGGGCCGCCGCTTATCACGCCTGTTTATGTCACACATTCGGGCCATTCCTCTCTCTTGATGGGCACAGCATGAGTGTCTGGCACAGGCTATTCTGGGCAACACCAGAAACACTTTCATGTGGCCTAAGGAATGAACCCTTGCATTTGGGCAATGCCAGAGCACTCGGTGATGTTTGAGAAAGATGATCCCGCTGCATCTCTGTGAGGTCCAGAGGAGGAGGGGACAAGGGTATTGGCGGGAGTGTCACTTAGAAGCCAGGATTGTACTTTTTTTTTTTTTTTTGAGACAAAATCTCACTCTCTTGCCTGGGCTAGAGTGCTGTGGCGGCAGCCTAGCTTACAGCAACCTCAAACTCCTGGGCTCAGGCGATCCTCCTGCCTCAGCCTCCCATGTAGCTGGGACTACAGGCATGCGCCACCATGCCCGGCTAATTTTTTCACTATATATTTTTAGTTGGCCAATTAATTTGTTTCTATTTTTGGTAGAGATAGGGGTCTCACTCTTGCTCAGGCTGTTTTTGAACTCCTGACCTTGAGCGATCCACCCACCTCGGCCTCCCAGAGTGCTAGGATTACAGGCGTGAGCCACCAGGACTGGCCAGAAGCCAGGATTATACATTTTGACACTTGGCCATGTCTAATGGGCCACCTTAGACATCTGCTCTGCAAATGTCAGTAGGGTGGGTTTAACTGCTTTAATTGTTCTCGGACCTCAGTTGAGAACGTTGGAGCCTAAACTTAGACGTAAATCCCTGCTCAGCCACTCATGAGTTGCAGGAATGTTTGCTGGTGACTGCCCTGCTGTTGCCCTGGGTTAAGCTGGGTCTGGGGACACAGGGGTGGGGAGGACAAGGCCCGTACGCTCACAGAACTCACAGTCTGGTATGGGTAGGGGATGACAGAGGAGAGAGGAGGCCCTGACCAGACCTGGCCAGCCAGGAATAGCTTCCCTGAATTCAGGGCTGCAGTGCACTGCTGTGTAGGCTGCCACTGCACAACTCACACTTGGACCATGATGTGCATGTGCCCAGAGTTGTTCAGGCAGCAGCCCTGCCAGAGAGCACGCACGAGTGGTGTTTCGAAGGATGCAGATCTGGATACCACACCACTGCCACCACCGCCACACCCATGCTGAGGGCTTCCTCTGTGCCAGGCCCTGCCTGCACTGTCTCACGTCGCCCCGAGGCAGGGTTTCCATTTGCATGTGAGAACTCTGCCATCAGAGAGGCTGGACAATTTTTCTGGGGCTACACAGCAGGAAGCTGAAAAATCTGAACCTGAGCTGGTTGGGGCAGAGACTTCTGGGGAGCAGGTGAAATCTGGCCTCTGGCCTGGACCATGGCTGTGCAGCATGTGTGTTGTGTGTTGTGTATGGTGTGCTGTGTGTGGTGTGTGTTTTGTGAGTGTGTGGTGTGGGCCGTGTGTATCTCTGTCACACAGACACACACACACACACACACACACACACACACACACACACATACACACACGCACACGCACATGCGCACTAGCTGGCTGCTGAGCAGCCGGGCCCTTCCCAGATTCTTTGCCTGGTGCCCCCACCATGGTTTTCCAGCTAGTCTCCAGGGTGGGCAGAACCAGCGGCCAGGAACCTGGAGGCCCCATGAAGCCCCCTCCCTCCAAGACCCTCTTTCTGAAAGGGGAAGACTCTGCCCTGGGAGGCCAGACAGATCCCCTGGGCCGATCATGGTGCAGTGGGAGGGGATTTCTGGAACCTTCCCTAAGGGCACAGGGGCTAGGCTTGTGGGTGTCCTGAGAAGGTGCTGGAAGGCTGACCATCAGGCACCCTTGCCCCAAGTTTGCCAGTGGCCCTGCTGGGGGTATGACACCCGGGGGCCTGTCTCCAGTTCCCCCTGCCCTGCTCGCCCCCCCACCGCTGCTCCCCATTTCATGACCTGGGGGGGCATTGGGTGCTGGGTTCCAACACAGCAAGTGGGGTGGCTCCAACAGGACCACAGCTGCCCCACCCTGGCCTGGGCCTTCCTCTGATGCCGGCCGACTGGGACAGCGGGGCTGGCAGGCGGCGGGCACAGGGCCACGTGGGCGCGGACACCCGGCCTCAGCGCTGGAAGGGCCTCGGTGCCAAGCGGGCCTGTTTGCCTCCAGTCTGGCCTTTGTTTCTTTCTTGGGGATTCCAGTAGCAGGAGCATTTTTCGTCTGTGTTTTAGTTCTCCCGTCTGCCATTATGCTTTCTCTCCGGGTAATCCGAGCCCTGCAGGCAGCTACGTGCAACGTGCACATGCAAATGAAACGCAATAAAGTATAATTGAGCGTGTTTCTTTCCTGTCTGGATGGA